CCCCAAAACCCCAAAACCCCAAAACCCCGGATACTTGCATTGACAAGCCAATATTGATTTCATTAAATTTACAAGTTTAAATAACGTTGCTTTATCCTCAAGATTAGAACTAATCGAAGAAAAATACTTGACTTCACACATGTACTGTCAATCCTCATCACTCTACATACCCAGTCGATCCCTAATATCAGCATCAATTTATCTTTTTTTCTCCCTGAGAATTCTATTTCTCAAGTGATTTGAAAAGTTGTACTTCTGTGGCTAGTCATACCATTCCAATAAAGTTTGCATGGAAATATTATTATCAGCCACAAAGTTTTTATCAATGTAGATCTTGCTTTTGGTTTTATGATTGTGATCTATTAGGTCCTAAAGTCTCTCCTATTTGTGAATTTGCTAGCGCATTCTTGAATAGTAATACAGGCAAACATTGAAGCCAATTCCAACAAAGATTATTCCACTTAAATAGTAAAATATTCGTAATTCTTACACTAAAATCTCCTCCCAATAATAGTCGATTAATTTAGATCGATATGGTCTATTAGTTATAAACGCCAAGAACTTAGAGTTATGCTAAAAAGCCATCTTATTGTCATTGCCTTGATTGTATCTTGCTCTGGGATCTCCTCTAAATGACTAATTACCATGCTGCTATTGATTTGATTCTTAATTAAAATGCGATTGAGGGTTAAACTTATTCACAGGTTCTTGCTAGACAGGCTTCTAGCTCTTTGTGTCATCTTGGTTTTGGGTGTTTGCATACTTGTAAAAAGTCTTCTCATATCTATTCTTGAGGAACTCATCATGCTAATTCTAATCATAGGCAGAGAACCTTTGTCTCTTCCACTTTTCAAAGTTCTCCTTTGTCTTTTAATCAGCACCATACATGTTCTCAGTCTCTTTCTATACTTTCTCATACTATGCCTTCTTAATATTTTACTATTTCTCATACATGTCGTACAGTTCCTCTTCAGTCAATGTGTAACCACTCTGCTCAGCCTTAAGTCTTGAGTACGCATCTTATAGTTTTTGGAATTTTTCCTAAGCAAAATATATAAAACAATAGGAGTTATCATACGGTGGAGCCCTAAGTATCAGGATGATAGATCTTAGCCAGCTTTAGGTATTGCTTCTTAAGGTATTCATCATTAATAATCTCATTGTCCTCTGGAGGGATCTGCATTATCTTTCTTGCTTCTTACTGAGTAATATGTCTTAAGGAGAGTTATAGGAGTTTAGGTTGAGTCAATAAGTGGGGATAGGGTTGAGAAGATCTTAAGAGAGAGATCCATTGATGTTTACAGCTAGTTAAAAACATTATTTATAATTTAAATCTAACACTTAAATCAATTAACTTAACTTGACTTATTAATAAACAAATCTAACTTTGCTACTTAATGACCGAATGAGATTTTACAACTTACTATGAGTACCAACCGATCATTCATTTAATGCATTAAATCATAAGCCAGTATTTCAGTATCTCCTAACATTGAAGACATTTACATGAGGCTTTTCATGGACACCCATATTGGAGAATTTTTCACTTAAATCACTTTGAGAAGTGTTATGGCTCATTAAAGTCGGTTTCAACTTAATCACCTCATTTATTCCACTGCTGTTCAGACTGTTATTCTCTCTTTCTATCATTGTTACTTACTATGATTAAGACTGTCTGCTGAAAGGGGGAGGCGACTGCAATTCATCAGCATAATCATTTCCATTACTTTATCTTTGCTTTTAAAGCATCTCTCTATAAATATTTTATTGCATGTTCAGATTCTCAATCAGCCCTCCACTGAATCCTAGAGTGTATGTCTTTTGAGCCTTGTTTGCTTTGTCGTTTAGGATATTCTCGTTTTAAATTTGCTATAGAGTCATGCTAACAGCATTAGCCTTGCCTGGTGAATTTGGATATAAATTCTAGGATTTTCTGATCGAATTTGGCTCATAAGTATTGTTTTGCTATTAATCATTTGTATAGTTGTTGAAAAATCTTGAGTTGTTGGCTGAAGATGGCTTTTAATATGAAAACTTCTACTGCTACTATTCTTAAAACTAATCAGCTGTTTTTTCATGAGATGAAGCAGGTCTCTAGACTGCAACTTGGTTATTATTGGTTAGGGATGTTGAGAATTATGAGGAATTATGCTAGGAATAGACTTCATAGTTACTAGCTTAGAGCTCTTTTTAGGGTATTCTAGATTCTTAATTCGCATTACTAGCCTAAGGTCTATTATTTTAGCCAACCATTCCACTATTTTATATATTAATCATGTTGTAACTCTTAAGCATAGTACTACTAGCTGTCTAAATAGTATGAAGATTCTACGGGGCTCTCTAGAAAGAGTTTATTTGGATGTTACTCGTTCTTTCAATAGTTGTCATTTGACTGTTGTGTTGGGAATATGCTGGATCTTTATTTGAATGTGATCTTGAGTAGTCAAAGAATGTTTTAGAGTGATTGGAAGGTTGATCAATTGTTTAAAAATTCCTTTAATTACCAAAGTGTTTGCTTAACCAATCAGATAGCTCCTGCTAAACTTTTGAACTTTCATAATGAATCGTTTTATTGACGAGGTATTCGCTATTAATTTGCAAAACTTACTTTATAATGTCTTAAGTTACAGTCTTTGGTACTTTATAAACAATGAATTAGACGGTTGAACTGATAAATCTTAGCATCTCATCATTTGAAATCAATTTTGAGGCATTCTATTATCTAAAGCAATCAAAACATTTTCTTAAATGCGCATCTGCATTAAAAGATTCTCTCGTAAGTAAAGTCTTAAGAGTGATAGGGCCAAGCATTTCCTCAAATAAAACATATCTGTTCTCTTTCTGGTTGAATGTTCTCTTATCAAGTTTATTAGACTCAATGATCTCATTAAAGAATTCAGAGACCTCCTTCTTAATTTGGGTATTTGTTATAGACTTTCTTGATACTATTTGAAGGCATAATGTTAAGTCATCTTCCTCTATTTTATTATGATTTTTACTTGCTTAGTGTCTTAGGATGTTTATCACATAAGCAGAGTCTACTCCGCAGAATATTGATTTTAAATTGGCATTGCTTAGATCCAGAGTTTGCAAATCATAGGATTATCTTTGATTCAACTATGGACTGAGAGAGTTAATTTAGTGTCTGTTATAAGATTATTCAGTATTGATGTAAGTAGGTGTCAATTCATTACCATTTGTTCCACTGTCAGAATCAGATTAAACTTGTATAGGTGGAGTTATACCACCAGAGGCTTCATTTACTTCCTTGAATAGAATATTTGGACCTATTCTAGCTGATGGCTGTTCCTCCTTAAGATAATTCTACATTTACTGCACATCAATTCCTAGGTTCTAAATAGCTTTGAGTGCCTATGAAAAATCCATGTTGCTTGGATGTTTGTAGACTATAGTATTCTGACCTTTATAGCATTTTGTCTTTTTAAAGTAAAAGTCATCTCTCTAATTCAATACATTATTTCTCTGAACAAGTGGGGGTCTTTGCTGGGAAGAGCTGCCTCCTAATTTAGAGTTCTGCTGATTACTTTCTTTGACTGAACTTTAGAGTTTACTAAAATTACTAATTTAAGTGCTACTCCCATTGTAAGCACTACTTGACTGCTATCTTCCATTCTGATTAGTTAACTTTCTCTCTTATTCACTACTCTCCATATTAGACAGGAACTAAGTCTTCTTAGTGGTATTCTTTTGGGGAGTCTAGAACATGGAAGTTTGTTTCACTCCTGCACTATTGTTTGTTGTTGCTGGTGGTCTTGAATAATCAAGAGTTGACGGTTTTATAGTTGAATTGTCATCAATTTATTTGTTATTTACCCCGCCTATGTATCCGCCAGAAGGTCTATCTTCTTATCTCTGATTAAGTATATTTTCGTTGCTTCTAAGTTGTTTCAGACTGACTTTAGTCATAGCAACATTCTTCAACCTTCTGATGAAAAATTGATATTCATTTGACTGCAGGAAAAATCTGAATATCATCATGATCATGCTGTTCTGAGTCTGAAGCTCCTCCCTTATTATGCTCTTCTCTGATTCACTTAAATCTTTGGAGTTAATTGCATTCAGTATTTAGGTGAAGGCTCTAGGCTCGTTGATCTTTTGCATGTCCTGGAAGCTCTGCAACTGCTCCTTGGTGAATTGATTTTCCTCGGGGTTGTGGAAGTTAGGATCACTCATAGAATGCTACTTTAAAGGCTATGTGGTTGGCACAAAGTTGTTCACCTTCAGAGAAGTCATGATAAAATTTATAAGCTTTAACTGATTATATTTATATCATTAAAATTTATTCCCATCAACTTGAAAAGTAGCTTGATGGGGTTTTGGGGTTTTGGGGTTTTGGGGTTTTGGGGTTTTCAGTATTAGGTTAATTAGTTTAATCATACTATAAGGTATTCTT